GGCTAGCAGTTTTGCCCCTGTGGGATGGTGTCAGGATTGTATGCTGATAATGTGTGACCAAATAGACACAGCTTTTGGGGTGAGAGAAGAGTCAGAGACAAGAGATAATTAAAATGACATTGGTGGATGCCTTCTCATTGTTTTACAGAACTGAATAGAAAAGGAAAAGAACAATATTTAGACTCCAAATGACAGCTAAAACTATTGCAAGAATTGCATGTTAATAAATTAATTAGAAATTTTTCAGTAATTAAAACTTGTTTTTCAGTTTCTCATGCATATGTGTAAAATTACTCTTCATTACATCTTTCCTTTTAGGCTGTTTAAGAAGTTTTCAGACCTCTCGCAGGAGATTACTAGGGGAATAAATGCTTCTATTGTTCAATCATCTCCATTTCTGCCAGTGGCAGAAAAAAACCATGTAGACAAGTGTTTTTTTATACGAACAGCTTTCCTATAAACTGATGGACAATTAACTGTCAACTCTGAAGATGAATCCAGATGAGCCTCTGCAAATTTTCGGGTAAAATACTGCCTTTCAGAGGGAGAAGACAAATTCTTAGGTAACTTTCCTGTTTAAATATTGAAAAGTTCCAGAGTTTCCTAAATCTCCCTTTAGCATTTCACTAAAAAACAATATCTGGTTTCCTTGTTTTCTACTGGAGAGGGCTATCGAGCAAGTGGCATCAGGAAGCGTCTCCACGTAGTAAAAAAAATATACTCTTTAATGTTCTTTCTCAAATGTGAAAGCCTATAAATTGGTCCACAGTTTTTCATCCTGAATTTCACCAAATAAGAAGCAAATAACATGGTACTTTCTTATTTATTATAACTGATTTTTTTTTTTATTTCACTGCATCAAATTTGTCCCCAGAGAAACTACACTAGTATCAAAGTTTTCTCCATGTAAATGTAATTTAACAAGGTGAAAAGCTACACCCTGTCACTGATATATCCACAACACATTCTGGTCTTTAATCAAGTACGAGTGACACTCAAAAATAGTTCAAGAGCCTAAAGCGTTCTGTTATCTGAACAGTGGAGGGCAAATATTCAACTCCAGAGCTACAGCCCACCCACAGCACACACAGGCATTTTCACTTTCAAAAACAGACTTTTCATGCTCTCAGTAATATATTCCATGATCTTGCAATATTGATGTACTTTCATACCAGTATCTATATAAATATATCGAATAGCAAGTATCACAGTGAATTCTCTTACCGTACTGTGTAGTACTAATAATAACCCCTGCTGTTTGAATACTTCTCAAAAGTGGAAAAAGACAAGCCTTGGAAGAATATTGTAAACATGAAGGGCATTCAATTAAGTTCGGGTTTTTTTGGTTTTTTTTTGGTTTTTTTTTGGTCATAAACATATGTGCAAAAAGTGATTCAATAATTTTTTAATGAGAAGGTGGGATGACTGTTTTACCCTATAGGATACACTCTTGCCATGTAAACATGCCAGAAATCCTAATTTCTACAAGACAAATTTTTTTTTTTCAACAGTACAGGATTAGCAAAATCATCTATAGCACTTTGATTTTTAGGCCCTGGCATGGAAATTCTAAACGTGTGAAGGTAACTTGATGAAAGGAAATGGTATGGACACATTTTTTGCAGTCTGTCTATTATTTGAAGCAGCCGTGTAGTATTTTAAGCTCTATTGGGTAATTGGGTGCTTCAGTGCAGAGATTTTAGGTAGGCTAAGTTGACAATAAGTATCACAACTGTTCTCCCACTGCCTTTGTTGTTAGTTAGTTAACTGTAAAGATCATCCAGTATACTGTGAAATGCAAGTTGTTTAACCAAAACCAGAACACAGTAAAACTATGCACATAAAATAAACTACCAAGAGATTAAAATGAAAACAAAATCTGATCATAAATATACAGTGTGCCTGTGGGAAACAAGGGTGCCATGTTATTACCAAGTACCCAAGAGATGCTTATCATTCTCAATTCAGCAGTATGCAGCATGCACAACCACATGCTGAGGTAGGCATGCAAAAAGACAGACACGTAAGAATGCACTTTGGGTAGTGGCAAAATGAAAAAGGCAATTTCATTGGAACAGCTCCTTGATCTGCCAGAGAAGTTCAGGAAATGGAAATGTAAAGCAAGCTGGCAAACTTTGCAAGGAAGCAGGAGAGGAGAGGTAAAACAGGAGTAAGGCACAGGGGGAATAAAGTAGAGAAGATTCTGTTAACTTGAAGCATGTGCTACATGCTAAGAGCGTGACCAGCTACTGTCCCTGAAATCCATCCACATGGCTGTGAATTTCAAACTCTTTAAGGGCAAAAAAATAGTTATGAACATGAAGTTCCAGGTTTCTACTAGAATAGAACCTTTCTCCTATCAATAAAATGTAAAAATATGAATAAGAACATTAAAAATGTTACTAAGACCAAAACACAGGAATATCAAATAAATTATCAAATACATGGAAGAGGTTATATCTGTGAAACTGGACCAAAAAAAGTCAGTGGCTTTCTATATCAGAAAGTCTATCTTGGACAACAGAAACACAAGTGCCAGTAGAATAGAGGTGCCAGAGAGAACCAATGTATCTCAACAGCTCTTAAGAAATAAGCTTTCTTCTTTAAGTTTTAAAGTTATCAAAGTGAAACTTGGAAAAATTAACCCTGAAAGCAAGGCATATTAATTCTTCATTTACAGACAGACAAAAGGAGAAGAAGATAATTTTGGCGAAGCAATTTTTTACTGCTGAGACAGTACTACCTGTACTTGGGTGAGAAACTGTAGTCCAGGGATAAGTAAGATCAGAAAATCTATCCTTTGGAGGAAAAATTGTCCAGCAGTCCCTCTGAGAAACTGTCACTTATTACATGCACGTTAGACAGAAGGTAAAAAATATTCTCAAGCTCCATATTTCATCAGATAAAATCAGAAAGCATTTTTTTTTTTACACTACATAAAGTAGAGCTCAAGAGGATTATCCATAAATGTCTCAGTAGAACCCAGTGTTGCAGTCATGATATTCATGAGATGAACGTCAGGTTTAGCAAAACCTATCTGAGTTTATGGCTAAAACTCCTTTTATATCTTTTGTAAGGGACTGAATACCTTAGATAATTGTCTTTTGTAAAAAGTAAACTAGAAGTATTGGAAGTTCATTGATATTAATATAATTATTGTGATGTACAGGAGGAGCCACATGAAACTTGTCAGCACTGGGGACAAACACTGGTCTGAGAAACAAGAAAATTGGCTAGTGCTTCCTGAAGCAGCTTAGCAAGAATTCTCCCTTCTATGGCTTCCTGTGTATTCATTGTGTACAGCTTATATATATTCCACTCATATTTTTAAAGCTAAGACTGCAGTAATGTGAAAAAACTTTGAGTAAATGAACATTTCAGCTTCATTTGTTAAAATCAACATAAGAGCGTTAAGTGATCTCCAATAGATTGTTCAGGAGATTGTCAAAATGTGTTAACTGATATATTTTCAAAAGTGTATATAATTAATGAAACCCAAGGATCTGAGATTTACTTTGTTTGATCACTATAAAATTCCATCTTAAAAGATCTACTTTGCTGTAAATTATTGCACACACTTTATAGAAACCTAAATAATCTAATGTTTCCAGGAATTAATATGAATTTTTCAAAAATACATATGTTAAAAGAATACTATCTAAGAATAAGTATTGTATGATATTATTGTTATTACTGACATTATAAATCTATATATTGTGCCTAAGGAATCTAATGAGTGGGACTCTGCTCTTATAACCTCAGGAAGACAGAAATTCATATTTGGTGTAAACAATCCTAAAACCCCCCCAATATATACTTATAAAAAGAAATTCTCTATGACAAAAAAATGCAGTTTCTCCTTCAAAAACTACAATACTGGTATTGACAGAAATTATTCCTAGTTTGAAAGTATTGTGGTGTCAGGGCGACTGTAATTAAATCCCATAGATGAATCATACTCAGATTTCTTTGTTCAGACAATGTAATTTACCATAAAATATATAAACCAATAAAAGGATAAAATATAGCAGATTTTAAAGCTAATTGGATATTAGGGTTATTAAAGGGACTTTAGTGTGCTGGCATTTCCCCCACATTTATCTATTCAAGAAAAAGAATTACAGTAATATTCCAGTTCACAAAGGCCAGTGTGAAATGAGCACGTTGCCCAAGAAGACAGTGACAAACACTAACTGAGTGGTGTTTGCTGGCACTCTCTTCAATGATTTCCATAAACAGCACAAAACTGGGCATAACTGCCCTTTACCTTGCTGCTCAAAGACAAGGCCCAGATGTTCCAGCATTATCTTTCACAGCTTGTGGGTTGACTAAAGCTTCTTCTGGAGGCAGTGCTTTATTTTACCTCCCACAAAAATGTCAGCTATAATTTCTTCGCTATAGTCTGTCCTCTTGTACTAGATATCAAGAGGAGAAGACTCCATTAAATAAGGTCATGACAGATTAATATTGTGAGACCATGCTCAGTCATCATCAAGTAGCTCTAGCTTTCTTGGCCAAGAATTGTCTGTTTTAGCAGAGATGAGCATGGAGATGTGGGAAGAGAGAAGATAAAGTGCAGAAGTGATGCATCAGCTAAAGTACTTTATATACCAAGAACAATGACAGTCCTATTTTTGAAGCATTCTGGGGTTAAGGCTTGCTATTTGTGGGGAAAAAAAACCAATAAGTTATTGACAATAAGCTCTTTCCTCTTTCATCTCAGCCAAAGAAAGCATGGAAAATTTTAGCAATTTCTATAGCCTTCCATTGACTACTTTTAACATAAGCTTAATTTTGATTCATGCATTGTAGACAGAAAATTAAAAGCTTTAATAATACAGCCATTAGCTCTTATGCTTTATTAAAAACGTTTGCACACCCTTTGTTGCACTTGTGAGACCTTTAAACAGTACAAAACATACTTTTAATACATAAAAGAGCAGAAACTCCCAGGGAAACAGAAGAGTATTAGAACAGAGTTCAATGATGTAAGAAAGTACCTGGATAAAATTCCCCTTGTGCAAACATGTCAATCACATAGCGACAGAATGCATATTGATCTAACAGAATGAAAAGAAAAAAAAATAATGAAGAAAGTAAATTAAAAATGTTGAGAGATAAAAGGTGCAAATAAAGCTTGGCAGTGCAAAGATATATTTTAGGGATAATTATATATTTGCTGTTTTTTTTAATTCCTGACCTTCGAGTAATTCACATATCCAGAAAGACAAAATTTATCGTCCAGATCTACTTCAAGCCTCTCAGCTGAGAACATTAGAGCTATCAGTGCTCGAGAGCTATCAAGTCTTCTTGCTCTCCAGAGTTATCATCTCTGCAACAGCCAGATGCAGAGCTCCAGGTCAGCAGTGCGCAGCCTCTGTTTTGGCATATGTCCTGAACTCACACACAAGTACTGTGCAAACTGCTACCTGGCCACAAGTCCCGAAGACTTTTTCTTATCCTTGAAGATCAATTTAAAACAGCTGAAGCCAGGTGATACAAAAATTCAATAAAGTTTTATGTGACAATATTTTGTTAATACTGTTTTACCATAATAATCAATATGTACGTTTAGTGAATAGGAATATAAAAAGGTGTACTTACACTCCTGTAGCAGTGAGATTTTTCCACAAAATTTTGTTCTTTCACTACAGAATTATTTTCCAAACAATGACCTTTACAAATATATATATATGTATATATGAAATATGGATATATCTATTAAAACAATGCTATTGAGAAATTAAGGCTTGTAAATCTAAATTAAACCCTGATTTCAAAAATCTGGATTGCCTATTGATTTCTTCTGTATATAAGCAGAGCTGAAGATCTTGATAAAAATTTCTGTCAGTAAGAATGGTGAAGAAAAGTTAGTAGTTGTAACTGAGTGCAAAAAAATTGCAGTACTGGATTCTCCAGCTGGCTAGAAAAATATTACATTGACTAATGGACTCTAAGGGACGTTAGCTTCAAAAGTTGATGATGACTAAATGTCAATTTTGATTAGCTAAATTAATTCACAACAGCCCTTGAGTTCAGCATATTCATCCACCTGTCCTAGACTGTTCTAGCATACTTCCGCAGCTACAGAAGTTACAACTCTCTCCCCCTCCACTTACATCTCCCTCTTACTCAGCTATAAAGCCACTAACTTTGTATTACCTTCAAAATGAAATCATGCAGATTTTTTAATACTTAATGTTTGGGTTTTTTTAACATGGCATAACTATTGTATGTCAATGCAAAAATGACATTCCCAAGTGTGTAACACTCGCTGCATTTTTTTGCTTTCTTTACATAGTTTGCTGGAGCATCAGTATTAGTTGATGCTGAGGCAGTTATGTGATTGCTGCTTTGTTACGGTGACTGCCATAGAAGTCCTTGGGTGGAGAGCTGCTGCTTTCAAATAATGATTTCTTATCTGGTTGTAGAAATGAGGAAGGGGTTGACAAGTTCAGTAAACATCCAATTTTTTTCTACTAGTTGATAGGAGCCCATGCAGCTGTTTCTTGTCACTGGGATGACGAGGATAATACTAGTCAGTATTGTAGAAACTGGGGCAAAACTTTCAGGAATTACACAAAGCTGCACCTATAAACACAGCTTTTAAAACCTTTAATGTAACTATTAATAATAAATTCTATTTTTTTATTTAGGTATTAAAATTTACCATTCTGTCTGGCTCCAGCTTTGGATTCCATCCTTAAGAAATCTAAACAAATTGGCTACAATACCTGTTCTAAGTCTACGTGCTAATTTTCTTTAAAAGTAGCAGCTTAATTGTGACAAAACAATCATGTACAAATCAGTAAGACCATCTAAAGCCACTGAAGTCATCAAAGTGTCTGCACTGACTTCAATGCACTTGGAAATAAGACCTCAATGAGTATTAATAAATCGAAGGCTATTAATAAATAAAATGGACCAATGAAAATTCTTTACCCCAGAATGTAAATAGCAGGGCATAGCTCTTGCCCACAAAGCTGTATTTTTCTTATTCCTCTTTTGCCAAAACAAGCTGTCTATATCCATGCTGACCGTTGGGAAGAGCCCCTGTACAGTTCAGGAGCATTGTACAAAAGACTGATAGATGTCATGGAACAAAACTGCATCAGGGGACATAAATTGTATGGACAATCACAGGACAGAGTACAAGCCTGTGCTGTTTCTGTTTAGGTTAATGACACAGACATAGCCTGAGGGCCTAGCAGCTCAAGCCATTTCACTGATATTAAAATAATCCATTCTTTTAACTTAGTAATATAGAACAGGATTAAAACAGACTATGAGTGTTTGAGAGTGGGTTTTTTTTGGTTTTTTTTGGTTAGTTGGGTTTTGGTGTTTTTATTTGCTTGTGGGTTTTGTTCTTTGGTTTTTTTGGTTTTTTTTTTTTTTTACATGTATTTTGAATAAATGTTAAAAAAAAAAAAAAGACTTTAAGCTTGACTGTACCCTAGAAGAAAGATTTCATATTAATCCTCTCCTCCTAGGATTTCTTTAGTAATTCAATCCCTGAAAAACAGGCTTTATTAAAAAAAAAAATGGAAGGCAGAATGTTAAAATCTGAATAACAAAAAAAGCATTTCTACCATATATGAAGTAATAAGGTGCCTGTAACATGCCATTGAAGTTCATGAGACTTCAGACAATCAGCAAGATTGAAACCTAAGGAATTTTAAATGATCATGATTTTCCAAATGTCTCTTCATGGCTAAAATTTCATTTTAATTTAAACTGTCTTGTTAGAAACAGAATTTAACGCTATAGTTTTCTATATTAGTAACACAAATATTAATCTGAGTACTAGTAAATCATGTCAAAATTTGGGACTAGATTCTTATTGACAAAAACAGTCACAGATATTTCTGTCATTGGACCTCATGCGATTTACCCTGGAAAAGGACTTGTCTTCTAAAATTTTGAGTGATAAATGATGGAACAGCAGGAAAATCATAACAACTCTTCTGTGATTATTGCTGTATATTTTTACACTGCTGCAGAAAAACTGTCAGAACTACTCCCTTGAGCAAAGAAAAGGAAGGACTGCAGGATCACAATATCTTGGCAAGACTACACTGACTTCAAAATTATGTTCAACTTGGATCACAGTGAGTCACAGCTTGTGGGTCACACATACTTCTATACAGTGAAAGGATGGGCAGCAGAAGCTCGTGGTGGAAGAAGGCAGGATGAAAGTAGAAAGGACAGTTTTCACTAAATGTATGTATCCCTATCTCTGTTGAAACGGGCAGTTGAAGAGGCTCCTCCTTTCCCCCGCTCCAGCTGCTCATTCCTACTTTCACCTGCCAAGGTTCAGTCACTGGGGTCACGCTCCAAAGCAGACTTACAAGAGGCTCTTTTAGTTTGTGGTGTTAAGATGGATCATTTTGCTAATATTTATCAGCTAAGGGGGATGTTGGTGGTCGCAGAATCCCACAACATCCAACCAAGAAATAAAAACTCATCACAACTCTGTCACTTTCTGTACTCTTTAATCCCTGCTTAAAATATTTTGCTGTCAGGGAGTAAAGTGCCTCATCTGTACACCATTACTTTTTGAGATCCTTATTCTGAACAGTATAGAATGGAGCCCACTGTGAGCTGAAACTCGATCAGAGCAAAGAAAAACTGAAAGAGATTTGCACCTTCCAAGAGGAGCTCAAGAATTTGCTGAACTTTGTCACAGCAACCAGCACGAAAGTATCTGCTTTGATTTTATGCCTCAAAGGCTCCAATATTTCAGGTAAAAAGAAAAATTAATTAGAATACAAATAAATTTTAAGAAATAGCGGTTAAAAAACTTTACATGTCAGAAAGAAGGCTATGTCTCAAAATCTTTTCAATTTTTTTTGAAACATATAATTTTAGGCACCTCCTAAGGGGTCCAGAGTTGATGGTTATGAAATTCTGAGAGAACCTGTGCAGGCAGATTCAGATATCCATCCAGGGATAGCTGCTTTGATGCTCAGGCATAATGTTTTATCTGTGCTGATCAGCTGAAAGAATCAGATAGCAGTGCTGTGCAATGCTGAGCTGCATCTATTAATGTCAGAATAATCCTATACCTGCAGTGTGGCAGTTTGTACAGAGAGACAGGTCCTGCCACCTTCATTCATAGAAAATTGTACCTAACACTATGGAAGAGCCACAGGGAAATTGGGGAACCGGTCAGTGTAACTTGGGAGTGGAAGAATCCAAGCTGGCTCTGACAAAGTGAAGCATATGGTTAACACCTCTGTTTGGTGTTGATGCATAATGATTCTCTGATTTTTCACTTTGTTTCTTCCTTCCACCAGGGCAATGTAATTTGTTCCCTTTTTAGAAGAAATTTGGAAGCTGTTTACATAAAATTATATCAGGCAGGTATATCACTGTCATGCAATACCAGACAACATGCTAATGCCTCGTACAAGCTGTTGTAAAACAAATTCTTACATTCCTTTTCCTCTGCTGCTGATTTCCTTATTGTCATGGAACAGATATGCAGATGTAGAAACAAAACAAAATTCTCAACTGACATTTTCCTGTCTGGAATTTCCAAAGCAACTTTGCTAACAATACGCTACTGAGGAAATCCATGAAGACTCAAGCCTGTTTGAATAGAAATCGGTCCTTGGTAAAGATGGATTTTACACTAAAATGAATCTTTAGCCATGAGAAACAGAAAATTCTGGTTATATCGATTAAATTTATTTTATTCTCAATAGTATCCTCCTAGCAGTGTGAGATTCATCTGGAATTTATTTGTGTTGCACTTTTGTTTCATGAGTAGACTTTGGTCCTTGCCATCTTTAACGCCATTCTCTCTGCTTCTTCCCTACTCCTTTCAAAGTTCTTCGTCTGTTTCCTCCTGGTTTTGTTTACCTTTCTTTTCTGATTTAGTTACAGTCTGAAGAGCTTTCTCCTCCTTAATTTTTGGTTTGGCCTTTATTAGCCCAACTTCCATTGTTTTGCTTTCTGCCTGCTTGGCCCTCTCCGTTGTCTTTCCTTCTCCTTTTCCATCCTTCACTTCCTTTTTAACTTTTGCTTCCATTTTAGTGGTCTTTACTTTCTTCTCCTCTGCAGAAAATAAAGAAAGAGCTTTCAGTGTCATTCTTTGCCCCCAATAATAGTTTTATATTTTTTTATCTTGAGCTATAACCAATGAAGATTACTTCATTACTAGCTGTTTGCTCAGATCTGATAAAAAGTATAATCCCTCAAAACCAGACAGACTGACAGAAATGCAATATGCAAGTATGTATTTTGTTCAGTCCTGTACCAAGTATTTGACTGATCCTAAATATAATAGGCTATGACAAATAATTTTAAATGTTTCTAATGATAATATGATCGCTTTTATGGTATAAAGTAGGGAGAGAAATGTTGGTCATTAAGTGAACAAATATGGAAGGTAATTCCAGGCTGAATCTGAACTTCAGACTTCAGAGATGAGAGCTAAACTCTGTTGTAAGCTATATCAGTAGCTGATTTATAGTGCAGGTATTTGTAAGGGTCACTTTTATGCACTGATTCTAGGTCTCGGTCCAAGAAGTCTTGAGCTCCGGAATCTCTCTCTACACCAGTTCCCTAGGCTGAAAGACTAGTCTGAGACAGTCCAATTCATGCCCTGCAGCAGAGTGAGAAGTTTTCCAAGGAGAATTACCAAATTGCAAATATCAGTGGTTGAGGCTACACAGAGGTTGGTGAGCCCAGAGTACGCCTGCTGCTTGTTACATAGCAGGTTTTTCTCATCTGAGACATGGTTGCTGGTAATATCTGTGTTTCCAGTTCACATCAGTGGAAAATTCAGCAGTTGTTTAAAATGCCACTAGATATGGTTTAAACTAATCTGTTTTCTGTTATGTCCACACTTCCGTTTTCTTCATAGTTCTGTCTCCATTCTTAAGGCTACTAAATCTACATCTTTGAGGCTCTAGACTTCTATTTCTATTAAGCTACTGGGCTGACTAGACCGATTTAATCAACATGTAAACTGCTTAGTTCTATCTACTCTAAAACAGAACACAGTTATTTATATATAGGCATTACTGGTT